CCGGCCAGGGTCAAACCACGACAGTAGACTATAAAGTGTCTATTCTTGAACTGGATCAAGCAGTGGGAAGGTAAGACAGAAATGCTGCTGGCGTTACAGTACACTTCAAGTAAACAAAGTGCCATGAAATCCATGCGTGCTTTCTATTAATATTTAAAAGGTAACAATGCCCTGTCACATTTCCTATGCTGCACAAAGTCAGTCTGTGGCTGTCCTACAACACTTACCCGCAGACAGGTAACTGGTATTGGTGAATATTTTTGCTTTGTGTTTTAATAGGACAAGGTGACTGTCCCTGTGCCAGAGCTCTAGCACCTTCGCATGCCTGCAGTCCTCATTCTCCCTGTGGAGGAGCACTCAGAGTCCTGTCCCATTCCTTTTGCAGCCTTTCAGAACAACCACCAATTCCAGCAGGTCTAGAACACAAGTGGAACTCTTGATTGTTAAAGGCTTTTTCCATCTTAGCAATCAAGCTGTAAGCTGTTAGAAGTCTAAGCTTTATCCACGCGTCCTTGTTTTGGAGGAGTATTGTAGTTTCATCTGGCTCTGAGGACCTGAAGAGATCTGTTTTCTGGGACGCTATTGTTACTGAGCAGTACCTGAAACTCAGGGACCTTAACAGAGTAGCTAAAACATAAGGAGTAACCAAGTATCGTTTCCCTGGGCAAGGCTCTATCCTTTGCTTAAAAAGCTCTCAAATTAAAGGCAAGCACATCGTTCATGAAGCGCTGTCATCCTTGCAGCTCTGAATGCTCATTCTCTTCTTGAATTTCCAGTCACAATAGAACCTTTGTAGATGGGAGCCTTTAGGTGTAACAGGTAAGGCCTTGAGAGACCCCAGAAACAGCACAGGAAAAACTTGCGGCCGGTGGGCTTTGCAGAACACGGCACTGTGGCAGCCCAGCGTGGGTTGCTGTATGTTTGAGGACCTCTGTTATGGGGGCAGCTGGCCATGTCGTGCAGGACCTTGTTTTCGTCTGTGTTTTGAGCCTTGCAGAGGGTATTTGGAAGCTGACACACTTGTTCCGTGTTCAGTCAACAACAACTGCTTTTGTCCGTGTACTTACATTAAGCCAAGTCATTCAAACCTGTACTTTTTACTTTTAGCAAGTGGAAGAACTGCATGTTAACCAATAACAAGTACCGGTAGATTCACATACAGAGCTGGCTTGCGGGTTTATAAGAATTTTTCAGAGTTTTTTGTCTCTGAAGGAATCAAAGAAGGTAAGTTCATTAAGTTCTTCTTGGCATGTTGTTAGGCGCATCATCAAACCGTTTGGATGGAGAGGTTTGAAGGGGGAGTTTTGGGGTTTTGTTTTTAAGGCTTCGAGATCACATAAGAAACAACATGTTTCAGCTCTAATTAAGAGCCAAAACATCTTTAAGATGGGCAAAGAGCTTAAGTGAAACCAAAGCATTCAGTTATGTACTTCCCAGCATGAATTTTCAGAATACAGCCTTACAAGTGATAATGAACTACATTTGGCACTTTTGTTGGCGAAGGGGTTCAATGGCTTAACCAATTCTGTTTAAAAAAAGACAAGCAAACTTTCTGATCCTACGTGCACAGATCATCATGGCTAAGATGCTCTACAGATTGATCTCATAGCCTCTACATTAATTTTATAGAAAAAAATTTTTGGAAATAATTTTTTTATTTTAGTGAAAATAAGATACCATTAGGCTCATATGTATACACACACAGACACAAAGAAAAGATTCACCGTATATACACTGAAATACCTCATACTCAGTGTAACCAAGAGTCCCCTCAGCCTATGCACAGCAAGTAGTGGAAGAGCTTTAAAACGTGCCAAATCCCAGCTGCCATCCACTGCTGTGCATGCCAGGAGCAGCATTGAAGCTCCAGGTCTGGCAGCCCAGCAGCACAGGAACAAGTCACGAGGCAATGTCCGTCCTGAGCCCAGTGCTCCTCTACATCGTACAGTCAGTGTGATCATGAGAGGCCTGGGCGTAGTGGGACGACTCAGCTGTGCTGCTGCAGGCGCAGGAGGGAGGGGGCTGTGCCTCAGAAGCTCTGGACCAGCTACTCCGAGAGCCCTTGGGTCACCCAGCACAGTGGGGTCTCTGTCTCATTACAACTGGTCACAAAAATGTTCAGCAGCACCATGTTACTTCCTGCTTTCTCGCGTTATCTGGGCTTACGGTGGTTTCTGTAAGCGGTTCTTTGACAGGTGTGTGGCTCTGATATCCATTCCCTGCCACTCAAGGCAAGAAGATACCACGCAAGTGATGCAGTAAGTTTCTCCAGGACGTAGAAGAATTGCATTGAAATATTCATTTGTTCAGCTAAGCTGCGTATAGACAAGTAATTCTCACTGTCACTCAAATCTAAACTATCAGGTGGCTGTTGGCACATGTGGGCCAAGAACTACAGACTTTGTAGAAATAACAAACAACTTGGCCTTGTCCGCTGGCAGAAGCTAACGTGAGACTACTAGTGCCCTAACCCTGACAGCTGTGGCAATGCCTTAAACAAGAGACATTGAGTGAATCTTAACGTGTAGCCAGCATTCTCTTCATAATTTGAAGATAAAACTCTGTTTCTGTACCTTGGAGGTCCCCATCTCAATTCAGCTATTTCAAAATGCTTCAGGCTGACTTCTTCTGTTTAAGTCGTTCCACACTGACTTCCGCTAAGCCAAGAAAAATCTCATTTTTTCCCTTCCCCAGAGATAAGTGCTGCTATCTACCAAATATGTATGCACTTAAGTACCACAGCCTGACTTTCAAAACAGAGTTCAGGGTGGGCTATTGCCCAGTTCAGTAAAGAAAATTCAAATATTAGTTGGCTGAATTCAACATCAAGGAAACGCTGAATTTCTTTTTTTTAAAGGGTGGGCACAAATGCCGCTGCAGTTATATCACCATTATGGAAGTGGGCACACACACAACAAATAAATAATGCACATTAACTTACAAAATATCAAACAAATCGTCTACATACATATTAAAAAAACTAAAAGAAAAGTCAATGTTAGTCACATAAGCTTCACAGAACATTTGTATGATAGATGCCCTTCTGTGCACCAGCTTGTGTCTCTGCCAGGAACAGGGCACCAAGAGCAGGGTGCTCTTCTGCCAAACCACTGCCCTACCCTGCCGGGGTGTCCCTGGCAAGGGGCAGGGGTGACGCACGTTTTTGGGGAGTGCCGCGAGGCGGGCTGTGGGCTCAGTGCTACCTTCTGTTTCGCTAATGCCAGGTGACAAAACGTACATCAGGCATCTGTACAAGAGAACTATTCTTCCCATGAGGTTACGTTTATGTTTATAACAGGAATGCTACAAAATAACGCTAACGTAAGCCTAGCACAGTCGTTCTCCCCTATAAATCATTGGCGTGCAAACCAAATATTTCGTTCCACTAGTGCTTCATACCCGTGAAATCACTACAGTAGCCCCCAGTGAGGGGATAAATGCCAGAGAGGGATTTTAAATGTGCATTTTATTTCAGTTGTGCATGTATCTTCTCTTACCTGAGGAGATTTTTTTTGCCTGGATATACAAACTTTCACTGTCCTTTTCAGAGTTAAAGGAAAATGAACTTTCATAACCTCTGCCACATCTGATCACCTCTTAAAAATGTCACTTTACGCAGAAAAGCCAGAAGTAATTGAGATAAACAGACATCTGTACATTTTAGCCATTCATTTAGAAAACATCTGTATCCATCCATGCAATGTTAAGACTATAAGTAACTTTGCAGTTACATCTGAGCCTGTTGCTATGGCAACAAGGTAGTCTTTATCTCCCATATGTGTTCTACTGATTTCTTTTTTTCTTAAAGCAGCTTCCTGAAATGAAAAACAGAGAAGCAACAATTAAGTTAGTCTCTTTCAAACACTGGATTCAAGGCTTATATGAGGAGCCCTTACTAGTTTCCAGCTGTGGAAAATTTAGACCTTGATCCTTTTCAAGATGAAAAAAAATGAACAACTGTCACGGAAAAATGTGAACTGCTCTTATTTTCAATTAAAACAAAAGAAGTATAGTTGATGATCTTAGAACACAAGATTTTTTCTTCCATAGCTATTTTTAATAGGATCCTAAAGAATCATACTACAGTATAATTCAAACTAACCCAGCAAGCTGTTATTTGCTGCTTGCTACAGTAAGGCTACAGTTCATAATTAATAATTAATTCCCTGATGGTCTTTTTCATGGTTAACTTTCACCAAAGCACACGGCTCAGCTTGGTTAATTGTTTGGAACTGTAAGCTTTCTGTCATGGTAGGTGCCCACTATACCTGACAGGGTTGTACTAGCAGTCCATCAGGTGTTGGTTAGTTGCCAACTCTCAAGAACTCAGGATAAACTAGCATTTCCATTTTAAATAGGACATTAGGCAATAGTAACTATACCAGAAGAGTTAAGAAGGTTCCATCTGTGCTTTCAAGGGCCTAAGTTGATGTCAGTGCTTCTCTGACATCCATTAAGTTTGAGATACCTCTTGACTGCTTTTAACACATTTTCTGGGATTATCTACTTTTGACACAGATTAAGTACTCTGAAAGGGTTGAACCTCTTCAGAAATAATGTTGAAATCTTAACCTGTAGTGTCCCAGCATTTCTAGACCCTTTATATGAAAAAATACAATAATGTAGTAAAGGCCACATGAGAAAACTTAAAGGCAGTGAGTTAGTTACCCAGACAAGGCATTTCGCACTCACATTTGATGCTGCCTAACAAACTCTGCAAACTGACGGTCTTTAGCGTAGAGTTCTACAATTCGAATCCTGTCCTGAATTTCCTAGAATACAAGAAACACAATTGTAAATACATATTAGAAATAACCAGTTTCTGGGGTTTGGGAAATAAAACTCCTATGCTTTGCTATTTCAAGGACTAGAGCTTGAAATTGGGCAATCTGATACTAAAATTCTTTATGCTTTTTTTTTTTTTTTTGCAGTGAAGCACTTTCATTGGAATCCAGTAATACTTTACTTTTAAATCAAAACTTTGGACAGAGTGTGGCATGTCAACAGGCTTTAACAGAATTGTTTCTCTCTCGTAGATTCTTTGCCTACAAGCCCAGCTACAGGCTGGATTTACACCTCTCTCAGTTGCTTAAGGATCTGTGGTTAGTTCCTGGATGTAAATCCCTTCTCTTTAGCCTTCTAGCATAAATCCTGGATACTCTGTATACAGGGAGAAAGGAGGAGGATGTGATCTGACTTGCAGGTTATAGAAAGTCATAAACTTTAAAAAAAATCAACAAACCAAAACTGTAAAAAGGCCTGGATGCACCAGGTTTTCCCTGTATAACTACTTTTACATAAGGTAGTTGGCAATAAAAGCTAAAAGCTGTGTCAAGCAACACAGCAAACCTCCCCAACTTCCGTGAAGCTACTTAAGCAGTCAGCTCCTTTCTCACATGAAATTCATTACAGGTCAGAGCACACCCTTTCCTTCCTCTATGCCTAATAGCAAGCAGGGAAAGAAATTCTTTCTCTTGTCCCTTCCACAGTTGCAGCAGCCATCGTTTATCTAGAGCATAGATGCTGGGGAAAGATCGGGCCCACCTTTCAGGTTACAAATGTCAGATAAGCTTGTTATTATGTTCTCCATGCCACTATGAAAACAAGGTCATTTACCTCCTTAGTAAGCTCACTGTTTTCATAAATGTGCCTGATCTCTTCACTGCTGTAGTCTGTGGAAGTCTCTGCACTGGTAGAACTGTAGGACGTTAGCTGAGGGTATCTCCGGTAATAATGGCTGTAGCCAGTCGTATCACTTTCATACATGGGGTTGTATTTAACTGCATTCTCAATGGATGAGAGGCTGTCACCCTGCCTGGGGGAGCAATAAACAAACTGTGAGCTTCTCTGCAGCCAGGAAGGGCAGCAGATAGATTAAGGAAGCCTGGCATTTGGAGGCACCTGTACATCCTGTTGCTGGTCAACTACGTGATATAAGACTTACAACAAAATTATCCTCATTGCAGCAGATGTGTTTTAAAATATTAGATGGTGTCACTTACCCCTGCGAGTCCTCGGTATCACTTTTGGTGTACTGGTCTCGAAGGGTCCTGGCTAAGAAGAAGATGACAGCAGATGCCACAAGAAGGAATCCCGCCACAGAAGCAATTGCAATACCCACAACCAGGGGCTCGGACACATATTCTTCACAGTGCTCCCCTCTGTACCACCAGTTCTCCCCAACACGACACCTGCAACAAAGAAACATGGGGAAATTAAGCACTAGAAAATGCTTTGCTGGATGTAAACATATTCAACTTCCTGTTATGACATGCCCTTAGTGAAGTCACCTCAATAAATACCTTTGCATGTTCAAGCACCAACTTTCTTCTACTGTTATTGTGAACAGCTTTTTTGGTATAGAACCATAGAGTGTTTTGGGTTGGAAGGGACCTTAGAGATCATCTCATTCCAATGTCCCTGTCATGGGCAAGGACACACCTCCCATTAGACCAGGTTGCTCCAAGCCCCATCAAAAGCCTGGCATTGAACACTTCCAGGGAGGAGGCATCCACACCTTCCCTGGGCAACCTGTTCCAGTGCCTCACCACCCTCATAGTGAAGAATTTCTTCCTTGTATCTAGTCTAGATCTATCCTCTTTTAGTTTAAGATCATCAGCTCGTGTCTTATCACTACAGGCCCTGCTAAAAAAGATCGCACCCATCTTTCTTATAAGCCCCTTCAAGTATTGAAAGGTCCCAATAAGGTCTCCCTGGAGCCTTCTCCAGGCTGAACAACCCAAATTACTGAATTGAGTGAAGGCAGGTAGCATAATAAAAGGATGATGCATTCGTGATGGAAAAAGCCTGGGCATTTTGCAATTTAGAGTATTCTGTGATGTGTTAAAACTGGAAGATGTTTAGACTAAGTAAAAAGCTATGCCTTGTTTGAGCCTTGCATGTGACATATCAGACACTGTAAAGGGAGAAATCCATTGCCTTAATCATCTTGTAATGTAAATACGAATGAAGGTGTGTTAAATGAGCGAAACATTTATAGTCTAATGAACTTCACAATGGTTAAATAAATGCATAAAATAAATTACTAGAAAGAATTGTGTGTCCAAGATTATATCTTTGGGACAATTGTCCAAAATAGCATTCAGCATTTCTGCCTCGCTGTGGTTTTGAACATGAGAACTTTAATGTTAATACTGACTTTAAATATAAGTTATAAATACACCAGCATTATGTGTGTTTAGGAGTTTTTGCTACAAAAACTCAAGGAATTTTAAGGTATTATGACCATTCAAAGCAACTGTATTAATAAGAAACAGCAGTAAATTGAGTCTTCTAAAATAAGTATCTGACGTAGTTTCTGAAAGTACTAAGCAATACACCTAATTTTTCAAAAAGTTCTTAACACACACTGTCCAGAGTATGCTTGAGTTCATGCCTGTTTCTAAGTAACACTGTTGTACAAATAAGATAAAATTTATACTACATCTGTCATAGCATCTGTTTTTGTAATTTTAAAAATGTTTTTATTCCTCCTGTTAACTGCTAGGACTCTAAGATTGACTTTAGAGACATTCTAGGTTAGTTAGCTTTTAAAAAAAAAATAATCACATGAAGTAACATTAACAACTACTAGTAGTCATGCTTTTTTGCAGTAAGTCTCCCACCTTTTGTTGAAAGGTGTGTTTTGTTTTTAAAAATAGACTGTCACATTGCTTGGAAAGGAAAAAATTAAGGGCAATGTCAGAGGAAGCATTGATTTGTCACTATCTTGTGCTAAGTCTTTTCCATCACCTCTACAACACAGAGATGCTGCTCAAACACATCTCTATCTTTTTAAAAGTGAAAATCTGAATTAGAAGGTCTGTGCCTTGATCTGTTTGTGAACCACACACAATTTTCCCAAATGGCCAAGGATTTACTTTTATGACCTTTTCTTAACCAAAAGCATTTTTTTTAATATATTTATTCAGTCTAAATATGCCTTTCAGATACAAATTTTTCTGATGGAATTAACTCTCCTATGCTTTATGACATCATCTAACACTTCGCCTCTTGAGAAAACCTCTGGAGATAAATTCTGTCCTGAAAGGTCAATAACGATGACTTGAACAACCGAGTATGTTCCTTGACTACTGTCAGTTCTATTTCCCGACATTTCTACTCTATTAAATAAATTTATTACCATTTCATTTCTGATAGAATCATAGCAAAACAAGCATTAATACTGAGAACTTGACTCAGCAGCGTAACATGAATGATAATCACCATCATCTCACTTGTTACACACTATCTTAAGGAATTGGGCACAAATCTCATGGAACGGCACAACAGAGGAGACGGCAAGGGTTCCTCATACCTGAAGCCGATACTTCAAACCACAGGATGACCTACCTACAGATGGCCCCTTGCCCAGGGCTGATGTCGCACTTGCCATCATTCAGGCAAAAGTTGGGCTGCAGATCACAGATGCTATTGCACGGCAGCCCATCGATGCTCAGGTAGCCAGGATTGCAGACGCACTCGGCTTCCCCGCTCCAGCGATTTACGATGCATTCGGAGAACTCATTGCAGGCCTGGAACTTGCAGGGGTCTGCTTGCTCACCTGAGAATACATAGAGCAGAAAATATTAATGCTAGAGGAAAATATTAACGGAGATAAACATGAACAACAGACAAAAAGGGCTAGCTGGCTGCTGCCATTTTCTCTAACAGTCTCTTAGTTAAAGTAATCAAAAAAAATTCAGCATGTGCCTTTCCTGAGTAACAAAAGGTTCTGCTATGGTGAACAAGCACTAGGAAGTGTTCCTCTGTCTGCACGTTGCATGTCAGTGGTTATGGCTAAGACCACCCAACAAGCCAATTGAAAAAGCAAGTATAAAGTGTTCTTTTTCTTACTGGAATGTGCAGTGCCTCAGATGTTCTCAGTCTGCTGGAACTATATTTTGCAGATGAGTAAAACACTGCTGATCTCCAGTATTTCTTGCAACAGAAAATCTAGGCAGCATACAGGGAAGGGCAAGGGGACTTTGGGCACTCAGCACTGACTGTGAGGTGATTTGCTTTTGCAAGGAACACAAGCTTGTAGCATTTGAGATATCTCACTTGAATCAAGCTTAACAGGCTGGCATACAGTTAAACGATCAATATCAGAAGATCTGGCATCCTAATTAGACCATCTTTTTAGGAGAGCTACCTCAGAAGAAGAGTTACTCTTTGACAACAGGCCAGCACTGTTCTTTTTCTCTAACCTTAACCCCGGAAGTATTTCTGAGTCGCTTCTGTGGTGAAGTACTGGCTAACTTGGACCAGGAAATACTTTCTCCCTCCATCAGCAGAGTGAACTAAGAGGACTTGTAACTTTTTAGTGCAACTAAGACCTTACCAAAGGAGTGAGGCACAGGTAGGCCCACCTGGCAGCTAAACTGGCTGCCACCTGTGGGAGTGACCACATGCATCACTTTTCCTCACTCCCCAGTGAAAGTGCAGTGGCATTATATGGAGCACTACACAAGTCAATTTTGTCCCCGTATTTCTATATGGACCCCATATAGTTTGTTCAGTCCCACTTTGATTTTCACCGTTTAGTCCCTTAACAGATTTTTCTCTGTTTGAACCTGTGAAAGATTTTCTAAAGCCAGACTGTGAAAAGCAGTGGGCAGTGTCTGAGCCACTGGGATCCTTTGTAAGTTCTTAAAGCAGAAGTTGCTCTAAATCCCTTGCTCCAAACTGCATTTTCCTGCCATACTTACCAGATTCCACATCAAGGGAGTATTTATCGATGGCCAGGTTCATGGTGTGATACGCAGTGTTGCAGAAGTCTTCCAAGATCATGTACACAGCGTTGGTGACATTCCGAGGCACGGGCTTGGCAAATTTCATTCGACTGTTCACCACGATGCTGCCATTTCTGAAGTTCAAAATTTCCAGATTCTGGAAGCCTGTCAGATTTGACTGCAGATAGGGCACCAGCTGCAACACAGGGGACATGTCAGAAAAGCTGAGTCTTTGTCTCTCTGCTCAAGCCAGCTGCACTGTTACTGCATCGGACAAAAAAATCTAAAAACCCAACAGCCAGGACATTAAAACTGTACCCAATGGAGCCTCATGCTGGCAGCCTGCCAGAAGCCCAAGTACTTCTGGCAGTTTTTAAGAGTACACCAATTTGCAGACGGTTTCCGGTCACTCATACCCAGGCCTGAGGTCTCATTTCTGACTTTGCTTACAATTCTTTACATCCAAGCAGTATTTCAAACTCTGATTTTTTTCTGATAGGGTCTCCTCAACAATAAATAAATATCAGCAATTATTTACAAAGCACTCTCAAGCTTTATGCATTATCCAGACATAAACCCCCCTCATCTACTCTACTGCCTACCAAAACCAAATACATGATAACTGACAAAGACAAAAAAAGTGCTATTCCACTGCCTGCCATAATATCTAGGAGGTTCTACCTTCTCCTGTAGTTGTGTGTAGGCACCTGCCCAAAAAGCATCAGAGAAAAAAAAAACAGAATTTTTCTTTGTTGTTCTTAAGGCACTAAACTGAGACTGCCAACACCATGACAAAGGTGGTACAAGTTCAGTGGTCCACATAAGAGTTCTTGGCACATACAGCATGCTCTGTCTTGATGTAAGCACCAGACATATTCACCATTTCATGAGCTTTCCTTCAAGCATGTCCCCTTTCCCTCTCTCTCTTCCTTGCTCCCTTACTCTCCCACAGCAAAACGTTCATTTCAGCCAGCAGAGGGGTATTGTCCAGTTAAAATTTGACGATTGTTGCTGTGTAACTCCTGTGAGGCTTTGCTAATTGTCAAGTCAGTTGAGGAACAGCTTAGTTCCTTGAACTACCTCTTTGGATGGGTTGAATGTGTTGCAGAAAGGTTACCTCATCACAGTCCCAATTTATTTACTTCTCTCTCCCTATAGACTAAATTGAGAGCGCTCTGGAAGCAAGGGGAGCACCACAGTGACTTCAGCTGCGTTGCTACACTTACACCAGCGGAGCATTTGCTAAAAAGTTATACTCTAGAGAGACTACTGACTGAATAAACACCACCCACCACACACACACATCCCCTGCACTGCTTCCAGACACAATTTTCCCATGGAGAGACACAAACAGGATCTGTAAACACCAGTCTTGCATTGCTTTCTGCAAAAAGGGAGATGACAAGCCATCTACCAACAATTTTTGTCTATCTGGTAATGGACATTTAGCATAGAATTGTTTCTTACCAGTTCCAAGAACCGCTGCTCCAGTGCTTTGTATTCAGGGGAGTTTTTATTGAACAGATCCTCTGAAAACATCATGTTGGTAACTCGAAGACTGAAAAATACAACTAGAGCTCGTGATGGGATGGTAGTAGTGCTGCGATTTTCATGTGTGGCCCAAGCCACGCTGGCCATCTCTGTGGAATGGATGTGAGTTGTCAGCTTCACATGACTGTCAGTCCCACTCCTTTCCTCCTCAGTCAGCTCAGGGGAAAAATGGACAGTGCTCACATGATCCAGGTCGACTGAAACATCCAGGATTCCCGTTGTTTCATCTCCTAGCTTTGCTGAAGTAGCCACAGACGGTGGTACCGTAGATTGCACATGGACATGGGACGGAAGCTCAACAGGCCTCATTGTTACACTCACCATTTTGAAAGTGCTGAAGCTCATGGAAACATGAGTGTCATGATCAGTAGCACCCTGTCCAGTAAAGCCCTCTAGAACAGTGGTCTGATCTATTAAAGAGGGAACTTCAGTGGCAGCTGGTGTTGCCGATTGCACCGCCTGATCTAATGAGCTTTCTAGGGCTCTGTCAGCAGGCCAAACATCAGCTGTTTTCTTCACTGCTGATCCAGTAGTGTCTTGACCTGCCAGTGATGAATCTAGGGTTTGCTGCTCCCCTGTGGAAGCTTCAGCGTTTGTCATGGAAGGACCTGCAGTCAGAATAGTTTCTGAAAATCTTGTATCCAACTGGTCTACTGTAGCAGCTTCAGTTACATCTGACTGCTCCACTGTGAATAGTTGTTCTGCTGTTGTTGTATCTTCTTTTTGGTGTCCAGCTGCTTCAGAAAAGATGTTCTGACCTACACTAGACTCTTCAGGTTGCTCCATACTGATGGTCCCTGCAGATGCGAGGAGATCATCTCCCACAGACAGATGTGTATCATGTGGTGAGATAGGGGACTCAGTTGGCATGTCTACAAGGGAATGGTCCACTGAAGGCTCCAAAACCAAGGGTGGTTTAACAGAAGAAGAATCATACATGCCCACTCTTTCTGTCTGTGCAGATGATCCCATAGATGATGGCTCTTCTGTTTGTAACAGAGGTACCTGCCGAGTTGTAGCGTCTGGAAAGACAAATATTTCAGACTCATCGAGGAAATCTTCTTTTATATTAACCATACCTTCCTTCCTGTCTTTGGAAGGATCATCATCTAATTTATTCCTAGAGTTAAGAATATAGTCTAAGATCATACCTTCAGGAATATCCTCAGTGCTGATTAACAAAGACTCATTGTCATCTTCAAGCCAGCTGTCAGGACTTGGGTAGAAAACTGGTTCCAGTGTTGCTTCTTCCCAAGGCCAAATACCTGAATCCATTTCTTTTCCTGAACCATCAAAAGCTGAACCAGACCCATCATCATATATAACTCTATCTCCAACATATATATCAGGTTCATCTTCCATAGGGTGGAATGCAGAGTCTGCATCGTAACTGCCTGCAGGGCCACCTTGAACTATTTCTTCTTTCTCAGCAGAAACTGGTTCTTTAATATCAGTCTCCACGACTGATGAAGAGGGCACTGTTGGTGCAGAAATTAGAGGAACTACATCATCTGTAGATGGAGGTTCTTCAGGCACGAGGTGAGACGGACTTGAAGGCAAAAGGTCTTCAGATAGTATGGTATCTTCAAACACTAAAAATAATGACAAATTTCTGTTTAGTTGTTGGCTATGATAAAAATGTGAAATCACATTTATTTTATTGTCTGTAGGTCTGTATTCAGCACATTTCCTGTGATATATGCTGGCTTTTGTATGCCAAAGTCAGAAGGACCCCACCTGACCTCTCCCAATTTTCATTCAGATATTCTATGGGCCAAGTCAAGACATAGAAAAATACTTCTGTGCAATTAAACAAGTATCATGTGCGTGCCATCTCCTAAAGGGATAAAAAGGCATCGTTAGCCATTACAAACATTTTACCTTCAGCATATTGTTCTTGGATACATGCACATAGGAAAGGTAAAAACTACCAGAGAAAAATATCTTATCTTCTAGACCTTTTTGAAAAGTCATTTTGGTGAACTATATCTTTGTTGAGTTTCAAGAAACACTGGCATCCAAATGTATGCTTCAGTCAGCGACGTTAACTTACCATCTAAAGAACCGGGGGCTGTGATCAAATCAGGAGTCCAATCCCCTTCTTCTAAACTCAGTCCATCAGGCAAAGAAGTGACATCAGCCTCTGAGGAAAGTGGAGCTTCAGGTGCCAAACTGGCCTCAGAGTCCAGATTTTCTGGTCTTGGATGGATTTCATTGTCATTGGACTGTTCGCTATCTGAGATGGAGTCTGGTTTGGTGAAATCAAAGGGCAAGGTATTGCTGACAGTCGACTCATCTGCTGAAGGCCGTTCAGCTAAAAAGGTGCTGTCCTGGAACAGAAACTCATTATTAATATTTCCACATGGGAAGCACTGGCTGTGTGAGTTGGGCTGAACACACAGAGGGTGTTAGCAGGCAGCAGCAAAATCTCATACTACTGCCTCTGTGAGAAAGTAATGCATCGCAGCAGGAGGCGCCAAACTGGAAGGACTGGCTAATATATACCCTTTGTTGATCACCTGCAATCTACATGAAAAATGTACATCCCTGTGACACACATTTTGTGTCCAGTTATGTCCACTAAAAAGGGAAAGAAGCCATTCAGATTTTTTTGGAGTGCAGCTTCACTGATGATATTAAGCTATTTAATCTCTATACCCACCCCATCTCCTTTCCTTTTCTCTGCTGAAAAAATGGATCTGTCCATTTCTAATTAATGATAATTGCACAAATTACTGCTTGACTTCCTAAAGCATGAAGAGGTCTAACAGCTATTATTCATCAGTAATTAGAATACTATAGTTACTATCACACATAAAACACTTCAGGAACTGAACTTGATTGTATGCATGCCTTGTGGTCATTTATTGTTATTTTTAGCACATGCATATGAGAACCCAGGAGGGAAACAAAACGTAAAGAAAACCGTTTAGAAGCTGGAATAACTTTAGTCTCAAAGCTGAGATGCCTGTGCAGATAAAAAATAATCTACCAGCCTTAATGATGAACAACAAAGAGTATGCACACTGAATTTGCAAATCGTTTGCAATGTGAAAAAATACTTTGTTTTTAAATCTCCAATATGCACACTGTTTACTTACTACTCCACATCCCAACAATGATTTGTTTTGCAGTTAGAGTACTTAGTACATTTCATCTATGAATATTCATCTCCTACCACAGTGTGTCAAGAGGTAATTGTACTGGAAAAAACCAGTGTTCAAGGCCACAAAAGCAAGCTGTCTGCCTGAAACTCAGGAGCTGAGGCTTCATATGGATACCTGTCCACATACCACTGCTGTGCAGTGGTCAAGTAGGGACAGAAAACCCTTGGGGTATGAAAAACTGCCAAACAATTTCAAGAAGCAGCAATTTACTAAGAAGTCACCAGTTACTGATGGTGACAAAGTTAAGTGGGCAGTGGACACAGGTTTCTGTAATATATATTACAGTTCAAAACCACTGCAGCCATCTCTGTAGCTCACCATTCCTACCTAACCTCTTTCTTTTAATTGACGAGCATGAGTATCAGGAAGAGTCCAAATACTTTTCAATTTGAAATGTTATTTGTGGTTGAAACAGGGTGAATTAAGTTTTCAACTTCTTTCAAACTGCATTTGAATGCTTTGAAACAGGCCAGTTAAGGTATATGAATTCAATTCAAGTTTGTCTACCTGAGTTGATCCCCTTTTTATAGACAATTGTTATGCCACCACAGTCTCCTCACATTTTTTAATTTTTATGGTAAAAATCTGTTGAAAAGAATATAAATATATGTGTGTGTATATGTGTATATATAGACATGTGCTCCAGCTATTATCTTTTCTGGCAAAATTGACCATTATAAAGCAAGCCATTAAAAAAGTTGCTGTGCAAAATTAGAAACAAATTACACATATAAATTCCATGAAGAATGAATAAGGACTAAAAGCAATAGCTTCTCAGTACACTTTTTTTCATTTTTTTTTTTTTAACGTGAGCATTTTGTTGCCAAGGATTGCACTTCATCATTTATTTGAATGTGGATAGATGTTCCTATGACAACAAACATTATTCAAAAATTCTTGTTAGGGTGCAATATATTACATTAACAAGTTTAATATCATATTGGCAAGTTCTGGTTTTTGCTAATGTCTTTTGAAAAGCTTACAAATATGACAGATGACTGCAAGCACAGAACCCCCTCCCTGATTTTCCATTTTCTGCTGCCAGAAAGGCATTGTATTCAGCAAGTCAGAGCATTCTACCTGTTACAACTCAGCAGAAAAAAACCCAAGAAAATACAGATTTCAAAAGCTGGACTTCATTTTTTTCTTCACTTTTTAAGAGAGTTGTAAAACTCAAAGAATTAATGATTAGTTGGTACCATCTGCTACCTATTAGAAGGTGAAGTCATCATAGTCTCACATTATATGTCACGAGCATGTATGATAATGCAAATCCAACATTCTCAACTCAGCTAAGAAAAACAACAGCCAAATTCTTTTTCATAGGTAATAGTTCTACTTATCAGTATCGATTTGAACCATAAAGGTTTGGCATCTGTGGAAGTAACTGACTAATCATTTCAGCCTTGTTTACTGTTAAGCATGTTTATGATTTTCTTAATTTTATCTGAAGTTACTTCCCAAACTATCTTTGTATTGCAGATTGAACACAGCTGCTTTTTTGATAGACTCAATATCTTTTACATATAGTTTTTTGACAAGACATAGATGATATTATTAGTCATAGTCCACTATTAGAAAAACTTATCACTTCCAGAAATTCTTGCTGTACATACATAGTATTCCTTAAAATTGTTTAAAATTTATTATTGCAAAGCTACCTCTACTCTAAAATCTTCTTGCCTGCACATCTGTCAGAGTATCCACATACAGAACACAAAACCAGGTGAATTCTTTGTCTTACTAAAATAATAATCCACAACATTTTAATCTAGCTGTACCAAAGAGAATGCCCTTTCCAGAAAGTTAACTTAAATTCAAGTTTATCCACATCGTGTTTAAGCCACTTATGGCAAATTCACATAAATTTGCAATTTATAAATCAATGATTAGTGTTTAAAACTAAGGGAAAACTGCCATGAAATTAAGGATATTATACTGCAACTGTTCTAACAAGAACATTTGGGTTCTGTGAAGTGACTACAAATCTTGTTTCCATAAAGATTTCAGAAATTAGCCTGAAATTCAATGTGTCTCCGTTCACATTATCTAATAACAAACTTGGGGGAAAATCTATCATCAAACATAGGTGGACCTGGATTTTGTGGCAGAAATTGAGCTCATTTCTTCATGGAAGGCACATCTGTGTTACATAACAGCATGCAGAGCAGAAACCTACTGGATAAATCCTTAAGCCCAGGTGATGCTCCACCATTCAGAAATTTTAGCTGTCGGCAGAATTAATTGACTTCATCTGAGTGCCACTGGCACCTAACCTGGTATCTCTGCTTAAAGTCCCTTTGCACTGTACAGATATGGTCAGGGGCAGGAAGTCTCCTGTCCAGTGGGGAAGTTCTGTCTGTCTGGTAATCAGAGGAGATAATTACAACTTCAAGAGAAAAAAAAAAACAAACAAAAAAAAACCAAAAAAGCCTCACTGTCTATTATTTTTCTGTGTTTCCTTTCATGGCATTAAGGACAAAATTTTTAAAACTGAACTGAAACTGAGGACTTTCAGTGAAAGTAACAGAGTAACAAAAGAAGCACAGGAAACTTGCTATTATATCTCTTCTAGCAGCCAGCTTCAGTGCTTACATCTATTTATCATCTTCCAAAGAAAGGTAGGATTGTGGGAAGAATCACATCTTTCGAGTAATTTACAGTCTAACATTATGAAAAAACAGACAAAGGAAGCCTGAGAAGTAAGGCCTGTGGTACTGCCATGCAATATAAGGTGATCACTGAAAACTGTTGTGCAGCAGATACCAAATTATGGGATGGCAGATTTCACCAGGGGTTTTACTGTAGTACGAGGTGTACCTTCATTACTCCTTATTCCGCATGAACAACAGGATAGAGAAGCTCTGGATGCTGGCTACAGTTCTGCCTTCCTGAGTCAAGTTGCCCAAATGTGCCCAAGGGCCACTCACCATTCAGCACCATACTCACATCGAACTCTGGGCGCTCCAGCACAACTGGATGCTCAGGAATCCAGGATGGGTCTTCTGGTGTAGGGTGGAGTATTTCTTGCACTGTGGAGACAAAAATACTTGGGGTCTAAGGCTGCAGCAGTAGCGTGAGGAAGTTGTTTTGGAAGACTGAGTGAAAAACCCTCCCTCGCCTCTGATTAGTGAGTACAATCTTTTCAATAGGTTTGTCAGGGAGATTTTGTTTCTGGAGATGCCCCCAGCCCACTGAGAAGAAGTAGAGAGGAAAGATGAGCATAGAGGGGTGGGCCTCCTCTAGCAGGATTGTTGAATATTCAGCAACAAACCAGGCATTTCCTTTGTGCTGCAAAAGGCCACCAAACTGAAGGTCATCTTGGTGCAATGTACACCATGTGAACCACATTTCCTCTTCTATTCCTCTTAATTTTTGGAAGTATTATTCAAATTGCATATCACAAACTCCGTGTCAAGGAGAAAAAAAGAGGCTAATCTAATGGCTTAAGAACGGGATACTACTGCTAATGATGGCCTGGTTAAAATGAGAGCAAAACAAGCTACTAAACAACTGGTTTTGTTTCTTTTTAATTATTCAGAGGGGAGCTGAATAATTCACTCATCTGAGATTTCTTTCACAAAACTTAGATGTGTGGCCTACTGATGCATCATAATTAATACTCACCATTAGTAAGTTGGAGAGAGTTCGGGTCTAAAGACAAAGAAGTGTTTTCAAACAAGGCATTTTTCTGGAGGATTTCAGCAATATAATCTCGGAAATCACTGATTGTGTACACAACTGTTGGATTATCCTCTATGCCCATAAAGGAGTTGTCCTCCACCTTGTTGGAATGAAGGTTAATCAGGTCCCAGGTGGCATTGGTGATGGCTTTTCCATCAAATGTAACAGCATAGTGAACTTCCACTCCACTTCAGTTGTATAGAGAGAAAGAGAACACAGGTGAGATGCGCAAGATTTTCCAAAGTATAGCACACTACGATATTTTTTTGTCCCAAGAACCTTTGTCAATACCTTTTTTTTTAATACAAAAATATATCACTTTAAAGGATTCTAAATAAAATCAATTTAATTCTGTTCACACTTGTGTCTGCCTGTGTGTGCTTTCCACCACTGTGAAGTTCTCAAGGAAAAGGCAGCCAAGAACCTGGCATCTGGTCTGGCCCCAGCCCTGTATTTCTACCATTGAACTGGAGACAGACCAAAATATCATCTTTCTGGCAGCATTATTAATAGGCCCACCAGCATGCAGGGGTGTGAGTGGTGATTTTAAGATTGTGCCAATGATGGGAATGGCTCTGAGGTATGAAAATAGCTGGGAAAAATAGGCTGTATATGGTAGCAATCTACAGTAGCAAGAGGGAGCCCTGACCACTGTCACTGTGCAGTGTCAACTGCTTGAAATAATGTCTTTGATAGCAACAGAATGGTATTTAATACAGCTTATTCTTTGGAACATTTTTCTAGACCCATTTGATCATTTATTTTTTAATTAAGTTTGTATCTGTGTACAATTTAGCTTTTTTTCATATTAACTCTCCTCAATTTTCTTAATTTTCTTTTCCTAAATATGTCTGGATGTCCCTTCTCACATGACAGCATAGGCAGCAATCAGATTTACCATACACTGGGCATAAACACAAGGGAGCTTTAGAAAATATAACACGTTTTGGCTGCACACAGGGCACAACAAGAAAATGAAGTAATCTATGAAGTGTTAGAAAAATGTGCTCCAAAGACAGGTTTTCCTCATTCCACAGAGCTGGACCAGATTGCCAAAGTAATGGCTCTGTTCAGAGAGGTCTCTAAGGCCCCGGCGCCAGATCCAGCAGAGATGTGATCAGCAAACACAGTGACTGAAACCAGGAGCCTGCTGGGGTATCGCTGCTGGCTCCGTCATTGAAATTAGCCCACCACAGGCCCACCACGGGCACCAACTGTCAGCAGAGGAAATAAAAAAGGACAGCAGTAGCGAAAAAGCACAGCAAAGATGGAATACAGCATGACCCTTAAAAGTAACATTGCGATAGTAATACAGAAATATAACTGCATTGTCAGTTGCAGTTAATAATTCCTAACTAAGAACTACACCACCATAATCTGTCTGGAAAGGGCTGAAACATCTGGCACTTGGAACAGAGCCTTTGCGAATGCATCTTAGCCTGCAGAAGTGTAGAGGATGGCTTTAAGTCATTGTTGCTCTTGAAGAGACTTGTGTTTTCAAACCTTTCTTCTAAAATGAAAATACTCATCCTCTGTAAAACTGCATGTGGAAACTGCGTATGCCTTTGCTAAGAAATATACAAAAGAAAACAGTACTTCTAGTAAGTTAAAGACTGCAGTTCATTTTCCCTCTCGTGAAATTCTTAAAATACTAGAGAAGGAAAATTTTGGATCCTTAACCTGCATATGTCAGATGAAAAACAAGCCCAGACTGATCCCATCTTCTGCTAAGGAATGTTTATAGAACTACTGCTAAGATGTGCAGCACCTCTGGCCTTGAAGTAGCTAAGTGAACTGCTGCCTTTGCTGGAAATCTATGATTTTCTTATCTACTTTGATTTCTATTATAACCTTGACTCAAACAATTTCATATGCTTCATCAAAGAGACTCCTTTACACAACTTGAGCCACAACAACCCCATGCAGCACTACAGGCTTGGAGAAGTGTCGCCGGAAAGTTGCCTGGCAGAAAGAGACCGGGGGTCTTAATCGACAGCCGGCTGAACATGAGCCAGCAGTGAGCCCAGGTGGCCAAGAAGGCCAACGGCATCCTGGCCTGTGTCAGGAATAGTGTGACCAGCAGGAGCAGGGAGGTAACTGTCCCCCTGCACTTGGCACTGGTGAGGACACACCTTGAGTATTATGTCCAGTAGTTGACTTGTGTTTAGGAACATTTTGCCCAAATAGTTTTTTATGATTAGGATTTAAATAGGCAAATTAAGTGTATCCATACTCAAAACAGATCAGTTACCTGCAGTTTCTGGTAAACCCCCCTCACGTAACATTTATGCTGGATAACTATCTCGGTTTGAAGCCAAAATTACAAATCCCCAAAACAGTATCCTCCAGCTAAACATGTTTTTCCATCTGTACTATGACAACATCCATAAAAAAAAAGTTGTCTTTACCTGTCATCCTCGGGAGAGCTGAATATAGAAACAAAACAAAACACAACAGTAAAACCTGTTACATCAATGTTATAATTCCCTTTTAGTCTTCTAACTTTAAAATCTGCTTTGGTATTCTACAGAGCACACAAACTTGAAAAAGCATACAGCAACATAGTTATCAGTTGTACAGTTATTCTGCTATTGATACATTGTTCCACTTTAGCAGAACTGAGATATTTCCTATCGATCACAAGGAATCAGCAGAGCAGAGACATCTTAACTTACTGCAAACAATGCAGTTAAACTGCTGTCAGTACCAAGAAAATCAAGGCTTACTAGTTGTGTCTAAAGGTTTAGTTTACAAATATAATTTGTTTGTCCCACAGAGCAAAGCATAGAGCTCTGGTACTTTGCCAGAAATACCAACTTTTGATTTGTCTTCTCAAATGGAGCAAGAGCTTGCAAATGTGTTAGACTGCAGATACCAAGGTGGAAGTTTTTTGTACCCTCCAGGCTGAAAACAGTAGACAGTCTAAGGTTCCAATCCTATAACCTTCCTCACTATAGCTGCTTTGATACCTGGATATATTTTAGCTAGAATATTCCAGCCAATAAATTCTAAGAAAAACAGCTTACAAAGTCTCGAAGAAAACAGTATTTAGATTAACTCATGAACAGTCTTACTAGATTCTGAAAGGTATATCCAGTCATTCAAAAAAACCCCATAATTTGTGATACATGTACCCCAAACCTCAGACATCTGAGATGTTTTATGCATCATATGCAGGATTACCTTTCTCCCCAAATTAACTTAGTGTCATTCTGAAGCATAAATTGATTGGAGAAAATTAGTCTTTACAAAAAATATTTATACAAATAAAGAGAGTTAAAGCATTGCATATCATTTACCAAAATATTCAGTCATCTTTGCTTTGATCAAAGGGAGAAAGACCTTTACATATCTCAAACACCAGCCTTTAGAGTCAGACCAGATTAACATTAAGGAATTAGAATAAAAATTAAAATGCACCACATTTTCTCAAAAAGGTTTCTGTGTTCTTCTTTGTTTAATGCTAGGACATGCCAACAGTACTGAAGAATTATTAGGTACTAATTTTAAATTAGAAAACATCTTTTAATTGTAGGATAGAATCTTGAATAAGAATGCCGGATCTTAAAAACAAGGCAAGCATATCATGTCATATTCTCTGGTGGATGCCAGGAGCAAAAAAGATATGATCTCCTTTACACACAGTCCTGTATTTCTATTTCAACCTCTTTATCTAGAGGTACCAAACATGAAAGCATTTGTTCTTTGGTTAATCCATCCTAGGAACGCCCACATACATGCCTGGCATTCTTCCAAGTGTGGTGTTAGCACATTGCCCCGTCACACACGATCAGTTTCACTCACCACGTATGCATTGGTATCTTTTTACCTGTAATCCAGAACATGGATGTTCTTGTATCCAGGTAGTCCTTCAAATACACTTTTGATCTATTTTGAGTGGAAAACAAAAAATGAACATGTATTTTCTCCACCCTACTCATTTAGTGAAAAATCAGCAAGTAATTTCAACGTTTTCTAGAAGTGTACCTGAGCTGTTGTATCTAATCAGAGAAAATCAGTTAAATATTCTCTCTCTTTATGAAAAAAGAGGTTTGGTGACATTGTTTCATTATCCGAAAAGGAAAAAAAAAAGTACTAAGAACAATATCCATCATGCCCCAAGAACTGTATAGAAGCATTCAAAGGGGGGAAATTCAAACAGATGCTGCAGCGACCTGCACTGCCCATAGCAGACAACATTCTTTCTCTCATTTATGCAGCATAAACCCTTTGCTGCCCAAAAGGTTTCCATCATTTCCCAAATGTATCTTGATTAAAAAGAATGTGGGGAAAAGCTTTGAGCCTTAGCAACTTAAACAAGAGGGGCAGCAGCTGCCGTAGCAACAGGGGCCTCTCTTAGACTCCAAAGAAGCACTAATGCATTACATCTTGCAAAATGTGGCTCGATTGCCCTAAACTTACAACGGGCTCAGGAGCGATTGGCAGTGCTACTCAAAAAGAAACAACTAGGGGCAGCAAAATGACACCACATCCAGGTCTAATTCAATAGTCATCTGTGTTACACAAGAAATGGAATATTAAAGGTTCATGCCATTTGGATTTTGGTTTTTTCCTGTCCCAAAAGATCTTTGCCAGTTGAAGATTATTTTTTACTCCTCAAATTCTTCTTCCCCTTCCCAGTCTCCCTATTTTTAAACTGTCTCTGGTGAGACTTAAACAATCGAAGTGTTGCCGACTTTATTTTCAAGAGCTTCTTTATCCAAGCACAGAGAAAACTGGGCAAGAGATCAAAGGAGTGGAACATCCACGTGCCAGGTGGACTTCATCCCATCTGACATTTCTTCCACGCACACACACTATGGCATGGCTACTTGGCCACACAACTAGGAAAATTAAGACATCTAGCCTACGCTAGCAACTTGTGACAGTTGTGGTGATGCTTTTTGGCTGCAGTGGAGAGTACATCTCTTTCCCATCTGGCCCAGGATCTGGCAAAGGGTTAGCCCCCAAAAAAGGGATACAACAGAGAACCCCAACTAAATGGGAGTAAGAAAGACACAAAGCTAGAGAAAGGATAAGCTTCACAATGCGCTGCTGTACAGCACTCTAGATGCCTCTCCCAAGAGAAAGACAAACTCTCTTCCCCAAGAAAATGAGGGTAATAAAATGATGAGCATTATAGACAAAACTTTAAAAAAATATGGAAACAACAGAGAGACAGAAGTTAGGAGACATCAGTATGATCCTATTTTAAATATGCATTTGTATATTGGTGGGTCAGTAACTTTATTTGTAGCATACAATTAAAACATTAAATTCTAATTACAATTAAATTAACTCGAAACCAAGTTTTAATAACTCATGCAAATAGGTGTACATGTACATATTTATATGTATATGCACATATGTATTTTTTCTTTAAGGTAACTGCCTAATACTCTAAACGATTAATCACTCCCACTGACTCCAGTGGCATTTCAGAATGTGTTTAAGAACTGGCTGGATGGCTTGAAAATGTCCTCACACGCTCTGGGCATAAATGAGGAGTGAGAGTTTTCTTGGCAGCCTACATTTCAGAGTATTTCACTGCAGTGTACAACCATTCATTCGAAGAAATGTCAAATAAGTTCTGCTGTTTGCAGCTTCTGATTTCCCCATCTATCATCTACTCTAGAGAGAGATTCTCTGGACTGATGCCAGAGTTTCTTTTGCAGTCCCAGATCTGGACACTGCACAATTGTTAAGATACCCTACACCCCATTTCAGTGCTTAGCTTCTGTAGGAGACCCACGAGTGTGCCCACAAGGTCAGATGCTATGGGCCTGTATGCCTCTGTCTGTGCTTCAGGATAATGCTGTGCTATACCTGAATTACTTGAGCTGTCTTCCACCTCTGCCTCAGCACAGGTTGATGGCTTGGCACTGCAGCTGATTCATGTCCTGCCATTTGAGTGTGTGGGCAGGCTCGTTTGCTAAGACCCTCAAATTGTCTTTTTCACTCCCCAGTTTCAAACCAACTACATTATGGAAGAGTTCAAGCTGAACGATGAGATTAGAATCACTAAAACAAACTCTAGGCAGACTGGCCACTAAAGAGATGTTAAATGTATCTTTAAAATTTAAGATTTTCGAGTCATAAAACTTTAAAAAACTAATGAAGTTACATGAAGAGGCAAATAAGAACCTTATCACTTCTCTGTGAGTTTACAAGCTCTACCGCAGTAATACTGACAGGGAAAGGTACTGAAAAAGTCTGAAGGGATGGCAAGGCCAAAGTTAGCCCTGGTAGAAATAGGTCTTTGAAAGGACTAAAATAAGTGGAAAGGTTTTTCATTTATGAATAACAGCTGGCTTAGTTTCTTCTGCTACCATGAGGCAAAGTAAATTAAGGAAAACAGAAAATGGGGGGAGAGAGAGAGAGTATATCCTAATTCAGGGGTTCAGCATAATTTTCTGATCCTCCTAAACATACACTTCTACAGTTTTTGCCTGCAAAAATGATAGCAGGCTATTTCATGAGAAACACAAAAAGAAAACTAGGTCTTCTGCACCTGGTATGCTACATGAAATGTGTGTCACTTTGCTGCTTCATAAAGGCAGCATGCTAGACAAAACAGTGTGTTCTCATAGTGGCTGAATATTTTCCAGCCTGCCTCAGGCAACAAAAGCCCTAAGCTGGTTCTGCAGAGCCCATGAGAAACAAACAGTCCCAGCACAGGTGCTACCTGCTACTATTGCTTTGCAGAGCCAGCAAAAAGGAGGTCAGAGAAGGTAATCACCTGAGAAATGAATTGCTCAGACAGCTGCTGATGCCTTGCAGAAGCTGGGTCCTTCAGCTCCTCGCTGTACTTTTCACCAGTAATCAAAACGCTGAATTCAATCATCTGCTCAGTTATGGGTCTCACAAGCTTCTCATCCTGCTTCTTTATCTCATTGTTGATCTGGAAGGGAAGGAAGAAGGGAGAACACAAGAAGTGATTTAATGCCTTTTGTTTGTTTATATTTTTCTCCCAAAACATAAATCCTCACTACTCACCCATGGCCAGACTCCTACCTATCCTGGATTTACTCTATTTAAAAAGAAATTCCATGTGAGGGGGAAAAAAAAAAAAGACATATCTACATATGGTCTGCCCTCTGTCAAAAGCACACTATATTCCTAAGCTTGGGTCCAAATACCTTTCTTATGAAGGCCAGACACTTCAGCAGCTGCTGCAAGCCTGGATTTTTTTTCCCTGGCTCATGATGGGACAGAAAACCTGAGCCTTCTCCATAAATACTGCATGGAAAGGAATGCCTCAGGGCACTGCTGGTGGGCCACACTGGTGAAAGCAGCAGCCCAAAGCACAGCATGCTGACCTGAGCCATCACCATACCTGCTTTCTTTGCGCTCTGCTGGAAGCCTCAAGGACAGAGGCAACAACTAATGAGGCAACCGACCAAGTGAAAACATTTTTTAAGAATTCTTATATTGCAGATAATTCTATTTTCCATTTGAACATCTTTAATCTAATACAAGGCTGCCTAGCTGACTTCAGCTAAAGACAGAAATCCAGTTGTGTGGGATGTTCATGAGGCAATTTAAAGTGCAACTATGGACCCATGAACAGGTCACTTGAGCCCACTCAGCAATAGGTTGATTTCACAAAATTCACTCATTTATTGCAAGGCTCCTATTTACTCTTCCACCTGGAAGACAGGTTACCTTTGCCAAGTTCTACATTCAGAACAACACCCTGTGCTGTTCAGCCTCAGTAAGTGAAGGATCTCCCCAGATACAGAATGGGCACTGGGAAATCTGCAGGGACCTCTGCTGGGCTGAAGTGGTGGGTTTCAACTCGCAGGTCTACAGTTGCCCAAGAAGCCCTACGGCAGTGGCTGTGCAATGCTCAGGGAAGTGTGTAGCTATTCTGGCTGCCACAGCCAGCAGTGAAATCCAAGTTTTAATCTAATTTGAATGACTGAGCAACACAGGAAGAACACTTTCTCCTTAATTCCCTGGCATTTTACAACCAGCATACTACTCCTAGCAGTATACCAAAAAAACATGAAAAAAAACCCCAGATCTTGTTTCATGGGTTTGTTCTAAAATGAAGAAAGAAAAAACGAGATTTGTGGGGGAAGGAAGGGAAGGCTGGCTTAAGTTAACTTTAGCCAAATCACCAAGTGTCTTTGGCTAGTTACATGCAGTTGTTGCTTTTCCTCATTAAAAAAAAAGGAAAAAAGAGAGCCAGCAAAACAGACCTTTTCAGCAAAACTGCAGCTTTTGTTACATATGGTGCAGGAAATGGAAAAACCTGTCTCCAGAAAGTTGAGCTGCCACCAGTGAGGGACTTAGACATTGTTTAGGAAACCTCTAAAAATGTTTAGTTAAATTCTCTTCCTCCTCCTCATCTCATTTTGACTAGATAATCTTGTTAAGGACTGTAATTACTAGTATACTACTTAAAGCTAGTTAGCATTTGAGATACACATATTTAGCGGGCATATATATATATATATGCTTCTACTCTATGGCTGTTTGCAAGGCCATATAGTTTCAATCATTTGTCAGTACCCCAAAACCAAAAGTAGAATCAACATAGGAGTGCAGAAGATGAGCTTGGCTCACTCTTGGTCTTGTAATCTGCAATGTGTTTTGGCTGCCCAGAGGAACGATGAGGTGTGATATAATGGTACAGAATGAAAACACTGTAGGAGTGGTAATCTAATTCTGGTTTCTTTCTGATTTACTGAGTGGTCCTATCCTCTGCTCCAGTAGAAATAGTCAGGCAGTTTTGTTTCAAAATGGAATAATGGTGTACATGGGACCAAACCACAAGTGTTCTTTGTATATAATATAAAGTCAGACCCTGGACTTGAGTCAGAAACTGTCTGCCTGTTTCATATTCAGTATTTATTCTTGGAAGCACAATATCAGAGCTCCACAGTCAGCTCTGAAAGCTCTAGAAGAAAGTATAGTTTGGCCCACCTTTGTTTCATGGCCATACTAGGTTATGGAACAGTGCACAGTTAAACCCAGTACCATAAATCAGCACCTACTTAGATGCTGCATATGCATAAGCTTCTCTGTAAATCTACTGAGAGTTTCATGTTTATAAGAAAACAAAAGCCAGATGATGCAAATCACTGGCTGGCAAAATTTTCTTCAGTTGTGTAGGGCCATGAATAAACACTGCAGTTAGACTCTAGAGTTTGGGCTTCAGTTTTAATTCAGAGGGGTCATTTCGCTGGAAGCAAATGCTTCCCTGGGACCTGCGTGGCAGTAAGCACTTCTGAAAGGCAGCTCACTTTCATGGAGATATTTTAAAGTACTTGATGTAGGCTTCCCTATGTAGGGAATTCTGTTTAAATATCAAGGGTGACTGTAAGATGACAAACAAAAGTTCCTCTATGTCAGCAGAGGAAAAGGAACACAGAATCAGAAGGAATTTTCGAGGCTATTCAGGTCACCTCTCCACTGTCCTACACAATTGTACTACAGGGACCCCTGAAAGACTACTACACCAAGTTAAGGTGTACTGTGTTTCCATTGTAACAATAATGCTGCACATTTTTCTTGGAGCTCTCAGAAGCCCTCAGCATTCCCCATCCAGTACTATCTCACTAGGAAAATCCTCACCCGAGAGCTCAACTGATCTGTGCTCTCTCGCTGTCAGGGAAGTGGCATTGCAAACCCTTTGCAAATGAAAAAATACCTACCCAGAAAATTACTTTAAAACTTTCTAAAGTTTGTGCCCTGTTTTGACGAAATCTCGATTTGTATTAGCATACTATGCTAATAACACTTGTAAGTACTCAGAAATGTAAAGAACCACAAACAATATTATTTGCAAAAGGCAATAAATTGCTGAACAACAACAAAAAATTCAACAAACAAAACCACTCACAGTAGTATCTGCATCTTCAATCTCCTGGATGGTACCACCAACAGGACCCTCAACAGAGATCTCATGAGGGGGAGGAACATTGGCAGCTGCATCTGAGTTTGAAAGACAGTACTATTTGGTTTGAGGTTTTTTACACCTATGTTCATGTAGATAAACACAGAAGCTGTTCAGCAAGCATAAAGCAATAGTAAAATTTGATTCCTATTCCCATCATCATGACAAAAACAGGAAAACATTTTAAGAGCCTGAGGAAAAGTATCAAATACACTAATCGGAATAAAATGCTAATGTTCTGTTTAGGCAAATGTATTTTTGGGAACATGAAGCTAAACTGCAGTGAAAAGTACACAGAACTAATTCCTCAAGCAGGATTTTTATGATTCATACAATAACAAAATAATGTCAGCACATAACATGATCTCCAGATCACAAACAGCATTATTTGAGACAGAAAAATTTACAGCTCTTTCTAAAATCCAAACACGATATACTTTCTCCATTTTCAGGTAATTCAGAATCAGCTTTGACAGGAGTTAAACGAAAACTGACCTCTCAATGTGGTAGCATCAGCATCCGAAGCTGGAGTTGGAGTCCCACTATTTATAAAAATAAAATCGGAAATTGAAGTTGGATATAGTGAGATAGATTCATTAGATTTTGAAGTATTTGTGATTCTGCTGCCAAACCAAAGAGCATGTTTGCAGGAGAAATTTGTCACTGTATAACTCGGCTAATAACTTCATACAAATTAGGTTTTGCAATATTTCAGTTTTCTTTTGCAACTTAGATATTAGGTCACTTGCATCACATAACACATCATATGCCTTTCTGGGTTGCTAACCTCCTTATATTCCAACAGACTTGGAGTCTAGCCCAAAACCACATTTTGCCTTCTAGCAGTTCTGTAAAGGAAGCCAACACCAAGACCAGAGATAAACCACAAAGATAACCTGTAGTATTCTATAAAATGCTCAGGTTTTTAAATACTTTCTAGTGCACTAAAACATCACAACTGTACTGAAATCACTGCAAGAAGATGAGTTCTCTTCATCATGACTTTTACTCTTCTTATCTGGAAATAGTGGAAGGCTTCAGTTTCCAAAGCCAGTTGTTGCATTCACACACACACACAAAACAACTCTAGGCCAAAAGTGAAAGAAAAACCATTTCAGATAAAAATCAGATTAAGACTGCCAGCCTGAAGAAAAACTTAACAGCTTTGACATGGCTCTTACAGTAAACCCAAGCTCCTTGGGGCCAATTCTGTAAGCCCTGAGCAACTGTCAGATTACCAAGAATGGAAGACACACTCTGACAGAAATAGATCTTTCCTTAATGAAGAGAAAATGTGTTTTCAGGTTTGTCATATTTTTAACATATGCAGCCCAGTCTATAAGATTGGAATTCTAAGTGTGGAAAAAGACCAATGTTCAGACTTCAGAAAAATCATTGAACTTGATTGCATTGAGATATTTTTCTCACTTCTGAAGGAACTCCTTTTTTATCGGTGGTCATACTTGTGCCATGATACAAACATAGCAGCAACGAGTGTTCACTGTAGTACACACTGACACCACATGAGCCATGGTTCCTAGTCTTGCTAGGTTTGATTTTTTTATTCACATACTAGATTACTGGTCTTGCAATCTGCCCTCAAGAAAACACCACTTGATTTTGATGGGTATTTTGCCTCCTTCAGGATGTTATCACTAAAAAATCTCACTCCATAAGTCAGTCTGTGTACCACTCCAAACAACAAAGGCTTTCAACACCAGCCAGACAACCAGATCCAGAGTTACACACTAAAAATGTTGGGGCACAAGCATGTGATCAAGCACACGATAGTTTCACTGAATTAAAATCTCAAATATGGTTTCTCCTCCTGCCTCTGGCAGACATACTCATCAATAACAGACCTGAAGACAAATTTGATAAATTTTCTATTTAAGGAGGCACAGGCTAGTCCTGAGCATGATCATAGAATCGTAGAATGGCCTAGGCTGGAAGGGACCTTAGAGATCATTTAATCCAACCTCCCTGTCATGGGCAGGGACGCCTCTCAGCTAGATCAGGCAACACATGGGGACCCAACGGGGATAATGATTAACTATACCAAAATACAGTAAGTTCAGAGAATGTTAAATTGACAGGGTAAGATCTATGTAACAAAAAAGCAGAAAATACTTAATCAAGAGTTTAAATTGTACCTTCATATATTTTCTTGAACAACTAAAATTAATAAGCTCTATGTAAGCTTTGAAATGTACAGTTATTTGTGTCTGCTTCCATCTTGTGGACACCGGTACCCATTTTCAGCCAGCACAGTGCAAGATAACTACTGATTCTTTGACAACCTCAGTAAATCTTGAAAAGATTTTCAAGACTGGAAAGTCAAATTTTACTTGCAAGTGTAATTTAGACAAGACATCCTCTTATTCTCTTCTGCCATTGCCATCACATGTAAAAAGTATCACAAGTAACTCATTCAAAAAACAACATTTCTCTGCTGAAGAAGACCCTAAAGCAACAAAGCCCCACATTAAAAGGATTTAGATTTTCTTCAGAATGCTACTTCAGAGGAATTTAGTTTCCTTACTTGCTCATCATTTTAGAACTGAAATAAAATCTATTGCTTAATTATTTATCAGTCAGATTAAATAATTTCAAATTAAATTCAGCTAACTCCAGCCATACATTACTCTCATCAATTTCAATAGGCATTAGATTACATCTATACCTGAGTCCCACCAAATTACAGCATCATTAACTAGCACCAGCATTTTTAGTGTATCATGTTTAATGATGGTATATTCAGAAGCAAATCCTCTCCTACAGGATATGCAATATTCTGTGAAGCTGAAGTGCTCAAACCCATCTATAAACATTAGCTGAGCATTGTTATCAACACCAGTTTCTTCAGAAGGGGACAGTGAGAAACGTGGTTTGCTGCGCGGTAGGCTCTGAGCTCAACTCGAGCCTCACAGGACTCAATCCAGCTGCCCACGAAGTGGTGCTTAGCATACTCTGAGAGGCCTCCAGGCACCTCCAGTTACTGCCCCAGGAGGCACATGTCACCCAGAGATTCCATGTCATTCCCAATAGCCGTCTGCAGATGCATGCCAGAGCTTAGGGCATCTCAAAGGGACCGAAACGACTGCCTGACCCACTGAACAGAGCACCCAGTTCTGTGGTGGGTTAGCCACAGCTAAGGGCCAGGCATCCACTCAGCCTCTCACTCATTCCTCCTCCTCTTCTACAAGTCAGGAGAGAAAATAAGATGAAAAAGCTTCGGAGTCAAGATAAGCAGGCAGATTGCCTACTAATCGTCTCCATGGGCAAAACAGACTCAGCTTGGGAAAATTAATTTATTGCGTATTTAAATCAGTTTGGGCAGTGAGAAGCAGATAAATGTTAAAACAGGACTTAACCTCCACCGTTTCCCAGGCTCAACCTCCCCCCTTACTCCTCTCCCTAGTGCAGGTTCTGCAGGGGAAGCAGCTCCTTCAGGACACATCCACCCGCTCCAGCTGGGCTGCAAGGGGGGATCTGCTCTGCCTCGGAGCACCTCCTCCTCCTTTAATGTATGCTGCCATTTCTCTCTCTTTTTGTTCCCATCTTTTCAATCTGTGCAGTGTTTTTGCCCTTCTACACCCCGGCCACCACCGTGGCTGCAGGGCTCAGCTGTGCACTGTGGGGATTGGCTGGAACTGGCTGTGTTTGGCACCAGGCAGCCCGGCCCCACCACACAGGGCCCCCCCTTGCAGCCTCCGCACCCACACAGGCCCAGGGCACCTGCACCTCAGCACAGTTGTGTCTGTCAGAGTATCCACAAGATCAATTTTAACTAAGTTGCTTGAGTCTTAAAGGAAAAAATCTTTAAAGTAGACAAGAAAAAGCAGAGAGAATACCATGCTATAAATCACACTTTCAAAAGAAGAATGGTTTGTGAATGGAAACATCTAAAAATAGCTTTCTAGAGTAGAGCACTACTTCTAGGTTAGCTTACTGGTTAGACATGTCAAAATAAAATTCTCCAAGATTCAAAAGGTCCCAGAGGACTCTTTCTGTCACTGACTCAAACGAGGGGCAGCTCGCCAGCATGGCACTTGGGTCAGTAGTCAATGTAGGCACAGGGTGAGCCACACGTTGGCAACCATGGAACAAACTGGGCCCCCAGGCACCTTGGGAGTGTGAGAAAGCAAGGTGAGAATGAGGCCGGGTAATATATTCCTACTGGCACCCAGGGGCTTTTAAACACAAGTGCCCAAGAGTTAAAGATTTTTCTCACAAAATTCTGGCTCATGGTTGGCTGAATATTAAAGGCCAAGGGCGTAAATAACACCTAGTAAAAGCCTAATTAATCAATCTAACCAAGCAAGACCAGCCAAGTACCAAATTAGGCCGAATCAACTTTTTCTCAGGAGGAAAAAGCTACTGTTTTAAGAAACTGTGATATAATCAACCTCACCTTATGCACAAAATTGTTTTCATTGTGTTACCAGAAATATGAGGTTTGTTTTCTTTTTGTTCTTCTTGCCTCCTACTTTCCCTCAACATTTTAATTTTTCAAATGCCCACTTTATTAATCTCCCAAAACCAGCAATCGTACTTAGGTATTTAAGGCAGTCATTCAAAATGTACATGACAACGTATATATTGATTTGCCTGAACACACTGCTCTTCAAGGTAAATGCAGATTCAAATTCTCCTTCAGTCACACCATTTAAAATATAAGGGATTTTTTTTCCCCCCCAGGATTAATACAGGGCCCAGGCTTTATTTTTAACTATACATATACAAGCAAGGCACTCCGGGTACAGGGACTATATTCCAGCAAGAGCTTATTGTGGATGAGAGACACATGCACATGAAACGTAATTTCTGTTGTCCTACCTGCATGACTGATGCTCTGGATCACCTTGGCTGAGCAGTAAGCAAAATATAAAAACATACACAATATATATGGAGAAGCAGGAAGGAATAAACACAAGCAGATGTCTAAACAGCAGAACGAACAACACTGCACTGTGTTTCCTTGGCAGAAACAACTGGTTTCAGATCATGCAGCTCTGTTAGATGCCAGGATCTAAGCAGGTGTAAGACAAGACCCATAAGGGCCTCAGAAGTTGATCTGAAGCAAACAGTGCTTATGGACAGCCTATACGTATTAACACAGCAAACACCACTCACAGACACAGCCTATTTTACAAACGTACTTCTGTGTCACCTCAGTCATGTCAAGAAAAGACTCGATAGGTTCAAGTCCCCCAAAGCATATAGAGTCCCATTGACTCATATGCAACTGAAGAGCCTATACGAGCTCTTTATGTGCAGCAATACTGTGATATTAAAGAGGAATATCACTCTGGACCTGTCAAAGGGGTCATCAGCGGTACCATTTCACTCCTCATGAAATTTTATAAAGGTATTAGTTACACTTTTGCTCTACATTACTCCTCAAGGTTTAACACAAACTCAACTCTTTGGGTGAAGAACATAGTATCTTCAGATTTGTACTAAGCATTCTGGACATCCTTCAGTTTATCAGTCGATATCATTGTTTATCAACTCAACTGTCCTAAAGTTTAATTTGCTATGTCAAGTATTTACTTTCTTTAAATATGATTATTTCAATGCTCGTATTGCAGAAACAAGGGAAAATCATTTTATGGTCTGATTTACTCCTCTTTAAATACTCTAATTACACATCTTTGAACTAAGTAAGGATGCAATTTCAGAAGTATTTTTATGCAAGTACAGAATACAAGGCATCCTTGTATTCAGATTTTTTTCCATTCAAATTGTCCTCGCATTTATCTTCATTCAGGTAATTCTTGATTTTTGACCTCTTCTGGTTTTAATTAAAGCAAGACATTTACTACCTGACAATATGGAGCACAAAACAAAATACACAACTGAAGAGGAGCAGTGTGGAACTATTCACATGGGGTAAAGTTGTGCAGATACTCAAAAATTTCTGAAATGAGCAATATCGTTGCCAAGTCCACATGCAGACAGTGAATGAGCTCAGGTGTATTTCTAGTTCACTGCAAGCAGAACTGCTGAACTTTAAATGACGCCAGCACAGAAGACAAACTCTTTTTCCTTCATGAAGCACATTTAGATAAATGATACAAAATTTGAGTTAATACATCATCAACCATTGCTGCCACTACTGATGAAATACAGATATTAAACTTGCCGATGTATTTCAAAGCAGATAACATGGACAGAACAAAGGAGGTCCAGACATAATCTATTGTGACTAACTTCAGTGAGTTCAGAATCAGCAAGCAGCAATCAGAAAGGACACATGCTTCTATTTATTTCATTTGACATTAATAGCCACTTCTGAAGAAGTGAAAAAGTAGTACATTATATTCATCCTATTCAACTTTCCCATACTCCTTTTCTTTTGGTCAGTACATTGTTGGGCACACAGCACTCAAGCAAGGCTGTGACATAAAAGCTCTAATTTTCCACTGCAGTAGTTTTGTGCTACTCCTTTGCCTTCAGTTAATCCTCCAGATCTGGCTTTTGACTCCCCAGGAATTAGGCAAAACAACTATCCTGTTGTCACAAGACATACTCAAACACTAAGAGAGTAAAATTAATTATGCAAAGTCCCAATGGCCTACTGAATATGGCGATCATTAAAAGTCTAGTGTTTCCACACTTCCAGCTGGGGTAAAACTCTAGGCTGCTCTGTACACATCTGCATTGTGTTCCAATATATTCTTTTTCCTTTGACTTTTTCTCCTCGGCAGCACTTAGTTTAATCTCTCTGTTTCTTAAAAGGCCAGGCTAGCTGAGCATTTAACCTAGGTGAATGCGTGCACTAGCCTTACGGGAACAAACTTTCATCCTGCTGTTATGTAATTGTCAGTAATGCTGGATTGTGAGTTATTCTGGGAAGTAAATTACACAAGTACAGGCCACCTTTCTGTAGGCTACACTAAAACTATCCTGGGACTTAACTAACCCAAACTAGCTTTTTCCAGCTAAATAGATACACGGTATTGACATATAGTTAGGATTCTATGAGATGTATTAAATTGTTTAAAGTCTACAGCTATTTATAGCTTTCAGCACAGTTTCATTTTAACCTAGAAAGGTAGCATAGTTAAAATATCCAACAGATAACAAGGGCCTGCCTTTCATTCCAGATCAGCCTCAAATTAAGAAATCTTTTCAAGGAAACAACTGTATCATAGCAAACAAATATCGGTCAGAGCTCATAAAAAGAAAATCCTCTTTTAGTTTCTTGTGCCTGGGCTACGTTCTAGAAAATGAACCTACTGAAAAATTTCCTATGCTCTTATGAGTGGGAAAGCAGATTGAGAAATATGCCTCCAAACTGAAATGACTGCTTCTGCATACTCATCAGAGGAGCTGGAGTTCCAGAAGACAAGTCAGAGCACCTCTGCTAGATGCCTGCTTCAAGGCATCCTCTGGAGAAGCTTTTCCTTCCCTGGCAATGTGAGAGCCTCACCAGAACAGTTCAGCTAGATACCCAAAGCTCATGTTTTGGGACAGTTCTGCTATCCCTTGAGATATGAGACCAGGACAGTTCCTCATTCAGATGCAGATGGCACAGTTGGGTGACGAGACATCTGCATTCAAATCATAGCATTGCCTCCATGCGCGTGTGGGACAGCAGGCAGTGACAGAACTACCCAGGAAACAGCAGAATTGCACGCATAGTCTATTCTGTGCAGGAAGGACTTGACACTGGATTTTCCACAGTGTACTTTAAGGACTGAGGGTATCCTGGGTTGGGTACTTGCTCTGACTTCTTAAAGAACATTTTTAAAAGGTCTTCATTTTATTCTGATGTGTACTGGGAGGTCTAATACATTGTTGGAGGAAATAATAACGTTGGCCATTGGCAATACTGAGATGGGTCACTTTTCTTCATGGAAGTTGCCTGAAGTCAGATGAAGCATCTTCTACCCATGACAGCCAATTATGGCTTTGTTTTTATATGACCTTTACTTAGAAGTCTCATTTCTTAGAGCATGAATGCTCTAAGATGTCCAGAACGCTCTTAGAATAAGGTTGAGCTTTTTAATATTGCCAAGTACAAGTACACCATTACTCACTCTGAAACAGCTTTCAGTCAAATGTTGGGCTTTTTGCATTGCTGGGTTGTTTAGCACAGTGCATGCAGTGATTCTAGATTAATTTGTGTGGACTCTAATTCCTCTCATACAACAGTATATCTACTAGATTTCCTGAATAATCCTGAATAATCACATAGAGGGGGGGGGAGCGTTTTCAAACTCAAACTGCTTCAGAATGATGACTTTTTTTTCCAGAATCTTCAACATACAAATTAAGATAACTGTATCTCTGAGTTCACATTTTCTGAGACGTGGTTCTACTCATGTAAAGAGTCAATCTAGAGAATGACTGAAGACCATGAGAAAGAAACAGACCCACAAAGTTTACAAGGACAAGATTTTTTTGTTTGTTTTAAAGTCTGTTAAGTGGTTACTGTTCCCAGAAAAAGAATTAGTTGTATTTATCATAGCTTTACGTAGCCTGTAAAGCAGGAAATTGAATCTGCCAAATTTTCAGATGAGTTCAGCACTAGGTTGTTTGGGTTTGAAATGCTCTAAAAATAACAGCTTAGATTGAGTTCTGAGTAGGAGAGGAGCAATAATCATCTGAACCAGTTTTCCTTTCCATTCAAAAAAGACTTGAAAACAACAGGTCAAGTTCAGGTTTGCTTTGGTAAAAGAAAATAAAATTCAGACTAGTTTTCATTTTTATTGCCTTATTAAAAGTGTGGGGCGCCCAAGCAGCCAATTCCCTTGTAACTGTTTCTAGAATACATTTCAGAAGGTTTTTTAAAAACATTTCAAAAATATTCTGCTTTCTTTGCTTTTTGTAATGATGACTAGGACTAACTTAAGGCTTCTGGGAAAGGTTCGCAGGATAACCAGAACACTGACACAAGTAACTATAGTCACATCTCTT